GCCGATTCGTCACCTCATCTCTAGTGTTCATAGGCGGCCGTACCAGGTCCAGACTAACTGTTTTTTTTTTTAAATCAGTTATGATTTGGTTCGACCATGGTTTGATTCCTTTAAGCTAAGGTTCGCTTTCAAGAAGGGACAAATAACAACAGAATATTATAGTTCACTTTTTGATTAAAGTTATAGTAAGTTTTCCACTATATTTGTTTGTGGTTTTATCAAATTGCTAAGTTTTTTTAACTTTGATTCATAATATTGTTTGTTGTGTTATAAAAGGTGTTTAATTTCTACATAAATTAAATGAAACATTCTATAGGCACTTTAATTATAAAAGAATACTATTGATGTTTTTTTATGATTCAAAATGCCTTAATACTCCTAAAATATCAAGTGTTTTGTTATATTTTAACATTTTTTAAACCTATGTAAATTTTGAACTAGTTGAAATATTGATATGCAGTTTTCATCACTCTTATTCTAATTTTTATATATTTTTTTTTCTGATTATATATCTTTGTTTTTGGCTTATTTTCTATCAAACCGAATATGACATTCCATGTTTTCGGAAATAGGACAACTATGCTTTTTCAAATAGAATACCTTCTATATTTTTCATAATTTCAAAGTCCTATATTTCCTCTATCTACAAGTGCCATTACTTCGCAGGGTAATACTAGGTTATGCCAATCTAACAAAGAGTAAAATAGCACTTTATTGACCAGTGAAAATAACGTGCAGTATTTATTTTTAAAACTATTACAACTTGTAATAATTATAAAAGTATGGCTCTTATAGAAAGAGGAAGCCCTGTCTCCAAAAATACAGAATAACATTTCTGGTTATGCCAGATGTAGGCAAAAAACAACGCATACACAGAAAAACTTATAAACATTAAAAAAGACTGGTGAAAACCACATTTCGTTATTTCAACTACTTCAAAAGTTACATGGTTTTAAAAAGGTTTAAAATATAATGAAACAACTTGTATAAAGACGACGAAATCCTGAGCGTATTTATAATGGTAAGTTTAATAGAAGTTTAAATTTAACAGTGTAAGTCAAGTGTGATTTTGAACATTTTCAGATAAATCGTTATTGAAAGTTCTTAGATAATATTAAAATTGAAACTTTAAATTAGTTTTTTCTACGCTCATGCAAAAAACACAACTTTATTGAACTATATTTAGTGAAAAAACTGGTTCTTTATTGCACTAGTGCAATAAAAAATTTATTGCACTCATCTGTATTTTGACTACAGCGTTTTATGATCATGACAAACATAAATATTCAAATGGACGCCAAATATTTAGTCTATTTTCATTTTCTGTGAGATTGTATTACGTTTTAAAAACAATTGCATATTTTATATTATTTTCAATCATTTAATAAATAAATTAATAAAACATGTATTTTATTAAAAATTTACAAATTATGAACACAAACGTAAATAAATACCTCAAAGTTTTAAAATGAGTAATATAATTGAAAAAATAGATAGCAGGGATGAAGAATTCGTTGGAAACCCCACTAGGGATGCACAAAATTTTTAAAACATCGATGTTGACATCAAATCTGTGGCCGGCGCTTAAAAGGTCATAAGTCGTTTTTTACGTAAATGGAGTTTTTAGTACAGATACGTTTAGAAGAGTGTATATTTTAGGCAGGTAAAAGGATTCAAGTCTATATACATTATAAAGTAATAAAAATAAGGTACAAAAAAACATATACAGGGTGATTCATAACTATTGGGACATAGGCTAAGGGCAGGTTATTTGTACAAAAATATGATGACAGGGCCAAATATACCTTAATAAAATATTGCTGTGGAATAAGATACAGGGCGTTAAAGTTGAATTTTTTTTTCGTTTTTTTTTATGTCACTGTATATTAATCAATTTTTATCAAAATCGGCACAGGGGCATATATTTGGACAGGGGATAATATTTTATGTATAATTTCTCATTTTGTTACGGGGGGCGCCACTTGAATGATTACTAATGATGAAATTAAGTGGTAGCTTTTTTTGTTTGGAAAATATGATGTAAACGTCATTTCTACGTAATATTGGTACTCTTGTTTAAACACGATAATTTTACCCGTTTTCGAGAAAGACGCAATTGAGCAGCTCACAAGTCTCAAATGGGGAGTTAAAAAAATATTTCACATATGAAAAGTGTGCTTTGATTATAGTCTATTATTATTACTATTATTATTATTTATTACCCGGTATCTTATTCCACAACAATATTTTATTAAGGTATATTTGGCCCTATCGCCATATTTTGCTCCAAATAATCTGACCTTAGATTATGTCCCAATAGTTATGAATCACCCTGTATAATAATACAAGGGTAACCGCGGAAGACAAAACGTCATAATTAAACATAAACAGTCAAATTTTGTATCATAAAACAGTTAAAACAAAGTATGTCTACCTATTTTTTAATTTTTGCAGGACCAAATCTCCTGAAAAGATCGTCAATTTGGATTCTAAAAATCCTTATTGATGTGTCCTAAAATTTTCCAACGCCATTCTCCAAAAATGTGTAATATCGACTTATTACCTTTTAAGCGCCGACCACAGAAATGATACATCGAATACAGACTATCGATGTTGTAAAAAAATCGGAAAAACAAATAAACAAGACAATGAAAAGAATCTTATTTTTATTTATTATTATTAATAGACTCAGAGTTAGCGGCTGCAAGGTAGCACGATCCTTCTTAGATTATAAAATATGAAGTCTATGTAATGATCGTACCTCCGGCTGGAATTTTGTAAAGTGGTAGACGGGATCATCAGGAAGTGTCATCTGCAAGGATGTTTAAAATTCCTGCAAACAAGACGTCAGACAACTGAAAGTTGTAAAAAATATCGACTAAAAACATATAAAATACACATACTTGACATGATTCTTTAGCTCAGTTAAGCATTGAACATGTAGTCAATTTTGCATTTCGCGACGCGGTTCAATTCACAATAAATGCAATTTTTTTAATTTTTTTTTTATTTTTGAAAAATATGAAAATTAAATAAAAAAACGTAGTATTTTAAAAACATTTTATTTAGCATAATAATAATAATGTTTCCTACACCAATATTTTTCGAGTTCTTCAAAGAGAGGCCGAACTTTTTTTTGCATTTGCGGTATTCCTTTATAACTATATTCTGTTTAAATTTAAAAGTACAATTAAAAAATATCGATATTAGATAAAAAAACATCGATGTTAAATAAAAACATCGCATAAAAAAACATCGATAAAAACATCGATAATCGAAAGAGAAAAATCGATGTTTTTTTAACATCGATACATCGTGCGTATCCCTAGACCCCACCAGAAGTCAGTGAAATAGCAAATACAGCGTCATTAAACTTATTACCCACTAAATCAAGAAAACAGTATGAAATAACTTACAATCGTTTTAAAGAATGGTGCTTCGACAAAAAAGTTGTAAATTTTACAGAAAATGTTCTTCTTGCGTATTTTTCCAAAAGATCGCATGATATTAAACCCTCATCACTTTGGTCTAAGTACTCCATGGTCAGAGCTTGCCTTTCTTAAAAGGAAAATATTAATATTAAAAATTATAAGAAACTAATGGCATTCATAAAGCCGAATTCTGTAATTAAAATTTTCAATTGCTTATCGTAATTTAAAATTTAAATATATCAGATTTTCAGATAGTCAAAAAGTATAACCTACGTATTCTGTATATATTAAATAGTAACAAAAAATACGAGTTTAATTGGGATTATATCAATAGTAATAGTACTTTACAAATAAAGTCAGAGTATGTGCTTTCTTCTGTATTAACTTCTTGCACCTTATATATTTTTTGGTGCCCGTATGTATTCGGATAGTTTTTAAATTAAAATCATATGTTAGAGCTTTCGCCTTCTTCAGTATGGTATTTATTATATATCGTTATTATTTTTTTCCTTTACACATTGTTATTTTTGTTTATTAGTTTGTTATTTTACATCCGTTTTAAATTTCTTTTTTTAGATTAAGTTTTAATATTGCCAACAAGAAATGTGCTTTTTTTTTATTAGTTATGAGTTTATGTTTAGTATTTTTTTTATAGCTTACCTTGGGCACAAGTGGAGTGTCTTATCTTACGATTTATTCTTATTCTTTTTTTTTATATAATTTTCTATTACAAATTAGCAGGATCAGTTTTTTATGTTTTGATCTGGTTATGTTTTGGATACCAGTTATTTAGGTTCAGAACCTCTATGAGGTCCCGTAAAGAGAAAAAACTGGTATCCACACCAGAACCAGATCAAAATATAAAAGAAAAACTAATCTGGCTAATTTATAATAGAAAATAAAATATAAAAAAAGAGAGGCCTCTCTCTCTCGTCTCGCGGAATCACTAATTATTGAGATAATATTAATTTAAGTTATTTAAGTTAAGATTTAATATCGCAGGTAGGGAAGTAAGTGGCTCAGTGGTTAGAGTCAGGATTTTCGTATACAAGGAACTCGGGTTCGAATCCTGCGGTGACAGGAATTTATCTAATTATTTAAAAAATTATTTTAAAGAATAAGTAGAATTCCCCACTCGATCATTCACTATTGATTTCTAATTAACATTTCTGTTACTAAAGTGGCACTAGAATGAAGAACCAAACCTACAGAGAACAAGAGGCTAATAACCTGAGTAGTTGATTCCGATGACATCAAATAAAAAAATTACCACAGATTTGGAATATAGCAAACTCTTATTTTGTCAAAAAATGCTCACATGATTTTCTTTCTTACTACTGCAGATTGGAATTACCAAAATTAAAAGGAATCCGTCTCTGATTCACTTAGATTTCTCAACGGTCAAAAATTCGGCTGATAAACATGATATGAAAATTTGATTCTTTGCGAAAGAAACCGGAAAGTGGGAAATCACCTAAACTGATAAAAAAGCGTATACGATTCCGAATTCTGACTCACCTCTTCCTTTATTAAATTATTAATGAGTAGATTTTATTATTACAAATAGTATTCTTATTTAAGACTTTATATCTGGTGAAAATGGTACCGAGAATTTCTTTCGAATGACGTAGAATAAACAAAATCGATGGAAATATAAGTAAAAACTTTTTTACTAATATAGTAATATGCGTTCCAATCTTTGGCCGTGCCAAATATAGTTTTATTCGGTATTGTTTAGTTAAACCGGTAAGATGCTTAGCAATATTGTGTTTGTGTTTTGTTTAATAACCGTTGGTAAGTGTATGTTCTGCAGAAATTAAAAAGAAAATCATTCTCACAGATGTTTAAATAACTGATGAGAAACGTTTTAATAAATTTAATGAAATTTACAGTTCACAAAGTTTACAATAATATTTACTAATTAATTATTACAATAGAAACCATTGCGCTGGAGAAATACATTTTAATATAAAACAAAAAACGTACTGCAAATGCTGTTGATAACTATTTATACTAGCTTTGTAACTTGCTTTTTACGTGTGTCAAACAAGAAATACCTTTTTAGAGTAGGACAAAAAGATACAAAATAAAAATAATAAGTAATATGTATTTTAAATATCATCAAAATTCTTAAAATTTTAAAGAGTCAGTTTGGATTTAATTATCACGGACAATACTCGGATCTCTGTCGGTCATGGTCTACTTAACAAACATTTTTTGGAATCACAAATGCCACAAAGATTGCTCTTGAGAGAAAACAATAGTATGAGAGCCCAGTGCAAATTTCGACCGTCATCTGATAACGAAATAAAATATGCTCCAAGGGCATGTAACAACATTATACTTTACCAAATTGCACCTGTGTCAATCCCTATCCTGAGCAAAGTGGTTAAAAACAATGGGTCAGGTGAATCAAAACAAGGAAATCCTTGTAAGCGTTTACTCCCAATTATTTGCTTGCCTAATTTGCTCGCCTGAATAAAATAGTACTTTTACTTGTGAGAGTTTACTTCTCGTGTCGAGTGTTTACTTCTCGTGTCGAGTGTTTACTTTTCGTGTCGAGTGTTTACTCGTAAGTGTTTACTCGTCAATACCTTATTCGCTTTAATATTTAAGTAAATACTTACGGTGCTTTCAATAGATGATTGATCTGCAAGTCTCAACTTGTTTTGCGTTAAATAGTAGTTTGCGTCTGTTCCGATTGTCTTTTAAAATTATTTAGTTTTTGAAGAAGAAATATCAGTAAAAAGATGTCTTCGACTAGCGATACTGACGATGATTATCCAAAAAATGTGATTAGCGATAGTAGAGCTGTCTTAGCAAATATAATAAAAATTCACAAAGTTGTCCTTAACAAATCTATGTTACCTCAAGTAGTGGAACAGAAAGAAAAAGGATGGATAGCTATAAAAAGAAATATATACAACATACTGGAAAGGAAATAACAGTTGGTTAACTGAAAAAAATACTTAAATATGAAATCATCCGTAAAAAGAAAACTGACATTTTAGCAACTGGAAATAAAAAAACAAAATTACCTAAATGGGAAAAGTGTAGAAATCCCAGTGGAAAATAATAAATGTTGAGTATGAAGAGGTATTTATATTTACTGACTTTTACAAAATTATCTGACACGTTGAGTACTTGATTTTCGTTCTTTTTTTTATTTCATTAGTAACTAAGTACTGACTACCTTAATCGGTACTAATTAACATTTTGTTCAATACTTTAACACCCCTCTTTAATTCTGTAAAGTAATAAATAACTTATATTTTAAATCAATTATTCAAATATTGAATTTAACCTGTCACGAAAATATTTAAATTTTGTGGCTGGAAGAGACTTTGTAAAAATGTCAGCAATTTGTTCTGCTGTAGGTACGTAATTTAAAATTATTTCTTCTCTACTAACAAGATCCCTAATAAAGTGATACCGTAAGTCAATGTGTTTTGTTCGTTTCGTTTCATAAGTACTAGCCATTTTAATAGCGGATTGATTATCTTCAAACAAATAAATAGGATATATTTTTGTATTTAAAATTTCTGTCAGTATTTGTGCAATAAAAATACATTCAGTTGTACAATGGACAAGAGCAATATACTCTGCTTCGGCACTTGATAATGACACAGTAGCTTGTTTTTTAGTTTTCCAAAAAATAACATTTTGACCTAATTTTATAACAAAACCACTTAAACTTTTTCTGTCATTAATATCATGTGCAAAATTGGCATCCACGAAAGCTGATAAAACATTTTTTTTTTTGATTTGACAAAGTTCAAACCCATATTTACTGTGCTTTTTAAATACTTCAAAATAGCTTTTAAATGATTCCAATGTTCTTCTTTATAACAATTTTGAAATTGACTAAAGTACGTTACCGCGAAACAAATATCTGGTCTACTTCCTAACATCAAATACATAAGGTAACCTATCAACTCCTTGTAAGGTAAATTAGTTTTTAAAGGTTCCAAATTGGTATCGTTTAGTAAATTTAATTTTGACTCCATTGGAGTATCTCTAGGTTTGCAATTAGTCATCTTAAAGTTTTTCAAAATTTTTGTAATCAATTCTTTTTGATTTATAAACAGGCCATCATTTGTTTTAACAATATTTAATCCCAAAAATCTTAATTTTGTAGGGTTAGACAAATCTCTCATTTTAAAATTTAAACTAAGAAGTTGTTTTAGATCACCCAATCTACTAGCATCTTTAGATAAAAAAATCAAGTCGTCAACGTATACAATTAAAAAAATAAAATCAATAAAATATAAACATGGATCAGCATAAGATCTTTTAAAACCTGAATTTAGTAAAAATTCATCCAGACGATCATTCCATCGTTTCGGTGACTGGCGCAATCCATACAGCGCCTTTTTTAGCTTGCATACTTTATTGCTAGTGGTACTTTTCAATCCTTCTGGAATTTTCATGTATACCGGGTTTTTCAGGATTCCATTTAAGAAGGCGGTCTTAAAATCCAGTTGGTTTATATACATCCCCTCTTCAACTGCGATTAAAAGTAGTACACGAATACACATTCTAGCAACAGGTGCATACACCTGTTCGTCAAGTTCGCCTTGAAGAAACCCCCGGGCTACAAGACGAGCCTTTTTTAAAATCTTACCATTGTCATCTTTTTCTCTAAAAACCCATTTGGAATCTATAATTTCTTCATTAAAAGGAATAGGTACTATTTCCCAAGTTTCGTTTCTTTCAAGAGAAAGAAGTTCCTCTTTTATAGCTTCTTCCCATCCATTTCCTAAACTTACAGCTTCCTGGTAGGTAGTGGGAATTCCATTAGATGATGTGCTTTCAACTGATAAAGCAGTCATTACATTTAGCTGGTATTCATCAAAACCAAACCTTTCTGGAGGATGCCTTATTCTTGAACTTCTTCGAAGTTCAGATTCCCTTTGAAAGTTTTCATCTTCGTCTTTGATACAGGTTTCTTTTTCTTTTTGTGTCTGTTCTTCCTGCACTTCAATTGTAATTGGTTTTTTTGTTTCATCAAAAATCACACTTTTTGCAATTACAATTTTCTTCCTCTCATTGTCCCATAGGCGGTAACCATTGTCTGCATAGCCCATCATGTACATCAATTTACTTCTCGAGTCTAATTAACTGTTTCAACGTTTATTCTATGATAGACTTCTTTGACATTTATTAAAAAAATTCCAAATTTCGAGCTGATTAGGTGATTGGTGGCACCACTATCTACAACGAAAGTTATTTTGCTTTGACTCACTTTCGCAATTATTTATATTTAGAGAGGTTAGGAAAACAACATCAGTTTCATCTTCATTTTGCTCACATACATTGCATTTAGGACAACAATGTTTGTCAGACACATTTTTAGGACACTGTGAACGTTTGTGACCTTTTTCACCGCAACGATAACATTTAAATTTAAATTTGGTGTAGTCTTTATTGAAACCTTGATTTTTCTTCATAAAAGAATTCTTACGGGTTGCAAATGCCTGTGTTCTGTTACTTTCTTCTGATGATGTATTTCTTTTCTGCCTTGACTCCTCCATTAACAGCTTATTTTTTACAAAATCAATAGTAACTTTCAATTCCTCTTGGGAAAAAATAATATCGATCGCTGTTGTAACAGACTGGTAGGACGTTGGCATTGAAGACAACAGTTGACTGATGACTTCGGCTTCTTTTACGGATCCACCACTATTTCTCAGATCCGAAATAGTTTGATCAAATTCAGTAAGATACGAAGTCAAAGATTGATGTTCAGAAAATTTCATATTCCGTAATTTACACTGTAAATGTACTTGATTAGCAATTCCAGATTTCGTGTAGGTATTTTTCAACGTATCCATTATTTCCTTAGCAGTTCCTTTATCTTTTACGGTTTCCAAAATATTATCTGCTAAAGACTGGACAAGGATAGTTCTAGCTTTTAGATCGCGTTTAATAAATTTTTCTAATTCAGCTGCTACAGTTGGAGGTCCAACCAGAAGAACGTCTAATACCTCGCTTTGTTCTAACACTAGTTTGACACGATATTCCCATGTTGAATATCCTATTCCATCAAACGGCTTAACAACATTAACGAACGAGTTTGACGTCATCTCTATTCCAGACTCCAAAATTCAAGACAATTTTTTTTTAAATATTTCCAACCTTTTCGATACTAACTTATTCTGGGCGCATAACCTGTAGAATTCCCAGTGAAAAATAATAAATGTTGAGTATGAAGAGGTATTTATATTTACTGACTTTTACAAAATTATCTGACACGTTGAGTACTTGATTTTCGTTCTTTTTTTTATTTCATTAGTAACTAAGTACTGACTACCTTAATCGGTACTAATTAACATTTTGTTCAATACTTTAACAAAAAGGACTTTCTTCACCCTATGAAATCTAATGAGAATCCTGTGTTGGTCAAGGTACCAGGTGGTGTTGATATTGGAGCACAAAGTTCTACTGCCAATAAAAATCTCGTGCAGAATATTTCGCCAGTTTCTGTTGACATCCCTGATGCTACAACAAAGGTGATACAACATACACCGAAGAAAATAAAACTGCAGAGTGAAACTAAAGAAACAGGTCACTTATCATCATCCGAGTTGCAGCGCTTAGTTTTGCTTGAGCAGTTATGACTTACTCGTCTACAAATCACGCGTGAAGAGTTACTCATAAAAAGACTTCAAGAATCAGATGCTCGCAGTACCCAGTAAGAACGAATAACATCTGATTACGTCACAGACGGTGTTTTACAAGAATACTTGGTTTTAGAATAAATAATTGATAATGTTTGTATAAAAATTTTTAAT